GCCAATAATATACACCATGATAACATCATATGACGTGCTTATAACCAATCACAGATCGCCCCATGCACTCTCCAGCCTATCGCAGGGCTCCCAGCTCAAAGAGTGTCTTATCAAACAAGAGAGGTCAGTCCGTTGCGGAGTCCTGTTGTCTGGACAAACAGATTAACATTGAACATGTGACACAGATAGATAATTAGTCCATAACAGTTACTTTACAACTCTGGGAGGTAGAGTGTTCCATTGTCGAGGGGCGGTCAGGAAAAGGCCCTGTTTCCCACAGTGCGGGAGCAAGTCCTGGGAATACGAAGAAGGTGGAAGTTGGAAGAACGGAGAGACGGGGAGGGACAATAAGGAGTAATAAGGTCAAAACAAAGACAAAAAACAAGAGTCAATAGCAAAATGAGCTGTTTGGCAGAGGTTTTGGCAAGGTTTTCATGTGCGCAACCTGCTCAGCAATACTGCTCATCCCATACATGCATGTATGGGATGAGTATCCTTACAAATGTGGCACCATTTAAAATGGAAATTAACAGTTGGCTTTCCAACGGTATAAGATATATTACCAAGAAACATTGTTACAAAAAAATCTACCAAACACAAATGTTCTTACATTTTGTGCTAAACAGAGAAAAATATAAATAAAAAATATTGGTGCAAAAAGGAAACCAGTGAAACATGGTGTAGCACTTCACTGCGCTCTTCAATTTTTTATTAGCAGCAATTTCAACCAGGTTACTGAAATCCACCTTATTTCTCAGGCCCGTCCTGTGCATTCCTTTTCTTTTGTGTTTCTTTTATCCCAGAGAATCGTATTACTCATCACTGCCATCTTTTATTCATCGTGTCTGATTGTTGTCCTAATAGCTCACTGTTCACTTTCCCCTGAAAGACTGTCAATTTTTTATTGAAGCAAAGGGTTTCACAACACAGAGTGCACGCAGCACCAACAGAAATCTTCAAATATGGACAAAAAATAATTGAATAGTTCATCAATTAGAAGACCGAAGACTTTAAATTCCAAAGTTCTCCAATAAACTGTACAAGAAGGGTGTTTTGGTGTGCACATGCAAGAAAGTGCAGGTGACTTGAGGATACAGTGTGAAGAGAGAATTACCCGTCATTTGTCTGTGCCATCCCTCAGATGGGATAAGAAGATGCAGGTTCTGAAGGAGACCGAGCGGGAGGACGGTCTTAAAACAAAAGAAGACCTTATCCCGCTCCTTCTCTCATCCCTGTCTTGGATGGCGTATCCATCTGTCATTGATTGAAAATGAAAGAAACAGAAAGCAAAGGGGTCGTGTCAGATCAGATCAATGAGGGAGGGGGTCATTAATGCGGTTTGTTAAGCAACGCAGATCTCGCAGCTTGGAAGTACAGTCTCAACTTTCAAACTTATAAGGGGCTGCGTTGGTGACAGATACCATTGATCCACACGTGAAGGGAGGGGGAAAAAAATCCCACCTTTGTCCCTTTGATTCCCAAGGTTTGACTGTTGCACTTACTTGTCTCCCAGTTTGTCACATATTTTAGAGAGAAAGTACACACACCAGCACACACAGCTGCCCTACTTTCTGAATACTTGTCAGTCTATCACATCCCACTCCCATTTGTCCTGCGTTCCTTTCATCTGGCCCACAATCCCGCTTTCTTCTTGTCAATTCTCCTTTGTGCCCTCGATCTTAATCGCTGGTCTCCATTTGACTCTGTACTTTTCCTGCCTTTGAGTCTCTGAGCCTCCTCGTCCTTCTGCCTCCCTTTAAGTCGCATGGCTTCCCTTTTATCCTGTCCTTGCTGCGACTGTGACTGCATCACACTCTGTGGGGTGCCGTCAATATGTGACTTCACCCTTCATGCTAAATGCATGTTGTTTCTTTTTGTTTTTGTTTTTTGTGGACCAAAATATTTACCTTTTTTTTTTTTGTCGTTTCTTCTCCTCCACTCAGGCCATACAGTCCCTGTTCCCTCGGTTACCAGAAACTGGCAGAGGAACATCTCTGTTTGATCGAAGCTCTGCAGCGCCGGGACCCGAAGGAGACAAACTGAGACTGGACACGTTCCCCTTCCTCAGTTCAGGTGAGCCGAAAACATAACGAAAGAAGTTYGGGCCTCTAATCGTCCAGCATCTCAAGAGGCGTTAGGAGGATGAAAATTGTTGTTGTTGCTGTTGTTGTTTTGGCAAAAGACAGACTTTTAGCAGAAGTAGGAGGTGGATGCAGAGGGAAAAGACGAGAGCCGAGACAGGAATGAGGATATAGGGAGGCATGAACATTTATTGTTAAAGGAAATAAGAAAGCAAGCTGTCCCACAGTAGCCTGCAGTGAGGCTGAACTTCAGGTGAGAGAAACCAGGTTAGCTTGTGAATTATGCAGGCGAGCAGCGGTAAGAAACGAGCTGAAGGCTGGAAGAAATCATCCACCTTTTCGGCATGATTGTTCACATTTGTCCTGTTCTATCTCAGCACACGTGCACGAACGAAAGCCCAGCTTGGAAACCCCCCCGTGCTCGGCTGCTAGAGCCGCTTTTTCCTCGTATCTCTGCATCAGAATTCACACAATTCTGTAGAGCTACAGTAAACAGATGCACACACACACACACACAGACACACACACACACCTCGCCTCCCTCCTCCCCACTCTGTTTGTCCTCAGGTCCTGTTTCCCCCACTCTTCTTCCCTTCTCTCCCCCCGCCTCCCCCCCTCCCGTGTGTCCCCGCTGTCCTAATCCCTTCCCAGGCAGGAAGGCCCTAATTGAGGGTGCAGGCTTCAGTTTGTGGCCTGTGGGCGCCCATTACTGTGTTTTCATAAGCAAGTGAGGCCTGCCTGACTGATTCAATATTCATGTGTCTGCCAGCTACTCCTGGCCCAGCACGCAGAGACTTCAGCGCTGTCAAATTAGCCCTGCATAGTAAATAACGGAGCGAAGCGAGGGAAGGAGTGAGACCGGGAGAGGTGGAGGCTGCAGCAGAGACAGAATCTCTGAGTCGGTTGTCATTTGGAAGGAAGCGGAGTTGGTTTAGAGGCAATTCTTTTGTTTGTTCATTAAATTTGGATTTCAGCATCACCTCAGATTTACCCTTATTTTGTATAATGAACTGCTGCTTTCAAATTGAAACACGGGGGATTTCCCCCATCTTGCCTAAATGAAAGGGTTTGCCTTGTCTAAAGTGATGCTTTGGTAGAAGACAGCCATTATTTCCAACGTCAGGATGTGTCGTAAAATTCCAACTTAAATGTCTTCGATTTTTTTTTTTCAACACAGAAATAATTTGTTGCCAGATTTCAGTTTGATCTCTTGGTACTGCAGAATCTTTGTGCTCGTGTCTGTGTTGCAGCAGTGTGAACACACTTCTGGCATGCATAAATGAACCATCAGGTTTTTTGTGTGTGTGTGTGTTGAAAGAAAAACTGTGCCAGAATTAGCCCCCGTGGCTCCTGATTTGAATTGCAAATATTGACTATAATTAGTGAACACTCTTGGATCTTGTATGTCAGGAAACCTTTGCCCCCACTGAGAGTTAACCACCCTCTCTGGTTCTTCTCTCCCTGGCAGGTGCCCCGTGCTACACCAAGCCCCCGTCCCTGCTGGGCCCGTACCCTCGCAACCCACCCTTTGACTATCCCTGGGGCTTCAACCCCTACCTCCCAGGGGCCTTCTCTCTCAACAACTGCCCCAAACTGCCCCCTGGCTCCCTCTACCCCTCCCAGTTTTACCCCAACCCTTTGCAGAGCAGCCTATCCCAGCTGCCTCACCCCTTCTCCTCGCTGCTCCCCCCCGGGGACGCCGGGGCTGGGGAGAGGGGGCAAACCGGTGGCACAAACGGCACGGCGGGTGGTCAGCCAGCCCGACTCTGCCTGCCCCCCTATCCAGGTGGCCTGATGATGGGACGGACAGATCTCGGGAACGGGGCGACTCTGGGGGAGAGGGAGAGGGTGGAGGCCAATCCCCCCAGCTCGGGCTTGAGTCTGGGGCTAGGAGCCGTCAGCCTCGGAGCTGGGACAGGGGCCGGCCAGCAGAGCCCCTCGGAGAGGAGAGGGGGCGTGAAGCAGGACCCKGAGTCGGACTCGGACCTGGAGATAACGGACCTGAGCGACTGCAGCTCAGACAACGAGAACGAGCACGACTTCGGCATCGCGAAGGAGTCCGGCCTGGTGGGCCGGCCGCAGCTCGTGCTGGATGGAAAGAAGGGGAGCCTGCTGCCCCCCATCTCCTCGCTCCCGCCACCGGTGTCCCCCCACCCCCTGAAGAGCCTGATGCCCATCACTCCTCCGCCCCCATCCCTGCCTCCGTCGCTCTCCCCTTCCATGGCTCTGCACGACAGACACAGGGAGGCAGAGACGCTGAAAATGATCCACAGCTAAGACTTGTTCTGATGCGACCACCGGTCTGCGCTCCGACAACTTTCTTCTTCTCTCCTGAYGTTTCTGATGCACCTTTTCTGCTTTAAATGATTTCATTTTCACTCACTCAAGATGAACATGTTTCYCAAGAAAAGCACTTTTGCTTCTGAAACTACTGTTTTCCTGTTTGCTTGCCAACATTTAAATTGCAAGTGTCTCGTCCAGTTTGCAATTTGTTGGATAATCAGTATTTAAGGTGTCAGTTGTCTGTAGCACCATACCCCCCCCCCACACACACACACACTTGTTTTTTTCAAGTTTCAAACTAAATGTCTTCCCACACTTACCAACAGTAGTCTTTAATTTGCTGTCAGCTCCTGAACTTAGAGAAAATGCAACAAGGTGATAAGTTACAAAAAAACAACAAATATATTGATGAACATTAACAAACATCTTCTATAATAGAAAAGAACAAATGAMGTTCAGATTGATCTAATTTCACACATATTTCCTGTAATTCTTTCCATGTAGATTATTTAAATAACTTCAGAAAAACAGTTTTTGACAAATTATCAAATACTGCCACCTAGTGGTTATTTTWATCATTCCCTCAGTCAATGACTCCTCATATTTGCCGTCTTCTAAAACTGCTTCTCCTGAGGAAATTTTTTAAAAAGCTTTATTTATTAAATATTTGTTAGTTTTATTATGAAGCATTCACGTTTTTTATTAATTTTAACTTAATCAGTTTATGTATTTTTTATGATATTTTCTAGAAGGAAAGAAAAAGAGAGCCAAGGGAGCTGGACCAATTTTGAATTTGTATGGATATTTCTGTGTATATATTTTATTATGGTGTACATGACATTTAATTATTATTATGTATGAAAAGATGAAGCTGTATTGTTGTGATTTAATTCAGTATTTAAACATGTTGGGGGGGATTTTAAATCTAAGTGTATCGGATTTTAAATTATTAATGGAAAACCATCTGCACACTGAGATTTTTTTTAATTATTATGTGAACGAAGTTCATTCTGAAAATTGTTTTTGATAAAATCAATCCTGATTAGATTTGCTCTTTAATCATTTTTAAACTGACGCCCAGTGAACAAACCTTTTGGTTTCTAAAACGATGCTGATAAACTTATTTTTCTTGTCAGCGTTCATCCAGTGGAACCATACTGTAATTAGTCAAATGTGAATATTACCGGTTTTTGCATTTTAATTTTGAAATCCTACCCTTAAGACTGGTTTTGATTACTTTTGAATCAATGCATTTCATCACTCCTGCCAGCTGAAAAAAAAAAAAACCTATTTGATTTGTTGTGATATGTTTAAGAGTAGAGCGGGGTGGAGATATTTGGAAATTTTATTCTTTTAAAAAAAATTCCCCACAAATTAAATGAGCCACATTTTTCCACAGCCCACTGAGTGAACACTGTTGTGCAGTTTCCTGGCTTTGCAGCTTTTGGTTTGTTGAACGGTGGTGGTTTTTCTAAGGTTCACTTGTGAAAGCTCTATTGTAAACTTATTGTAAAACTCTATGTTTGTTGAGTTGTTTACAGGAAAGCTCAGCCGTCACTCACATGTGAAGTTTCCCCACTAAAGCTGTAAATACTCCTTCCTTTTTCTCTATGTGAGTGTACACATCCAACACTGAAGATGCAGTGAGTTTACCTGTCATCTCACTTTATTTTACTGTACAGAGGCAAAATGGAAAGTGAAGAAAAGATTAATATCTTCAGAAGCAATAAATATTATTCTGGATAGTGGGCTGTTGTTGAGTTTGTTCCATGAATTTGTGGTGAGGGTGATTAAAAAAGTTCATATATATATATATATATATATATATTTTATCATGATTTTTTAAGAAAACAATGCACTCACATCATCAGTTTTATAAAAATGACCAAATACTACTGTGGTATTTACAATTTAATTCCATTTTTATTATTTGATTGATTGATTTTAGTATTAGTCTTTTTAAATGATCAACATCTGGGTTAGTGTGCAGTTGAGTTTATTGATAATCAAATCAATAACAATCAGAATAGTGTCGACCGTTAAACTAAACCGACACAAATAATTATTTTAGGCTAGTTTCTATTCATAAAAAAAAAACATAAATCATAAATTCAAGCTGAATTATTTCACAATACGCAACACTGTTAAAAAGTCTTCTTCAGATTTAAAGTTATAAATGTTGGATCATTAGATGAAAAAATATTCAACTTTTGTGTGTTTAAAACTGAAAAAGAAAAAACCCTCAAAATTCAGATTTATCTCAACTAATGACTTTCTTTAGCTGCACTTGGGCTCAGTCATTTTTTATTTGCTCTAAAGACATGAACCTTTATTATTAGAATTACAATAAATTAATAATTATAAATAACTTTATGTAAAATGTCATCAAACATACATCAAAGTTTAATTTATGTTCAACAGATGTGGCGTCATACAGAGTTTATCTACCTTTTAAATTTTCTATTTTATTATCAATGTTGTGGTTTCTGTTAAAGTCTTCAGAAGTGGTCAAAATATGAGATTTTCTTTGTGTGTGTGTGTGTGTGTGTGTGTGTGTGTGTGTGTGTGTGTGTGTGTGTGTGTGTGTGTGTG